TTGTGTGACCTATTACTGCAGGAGTGGGCGGCAGGTGTGTTTGGCCATCCAAAAGTGCATGGCTACTAGTAGCAAGAAGCTACTAGTAGCTATTTGCTACTAGTAGAAATGGACTTGTTACCAGTAGCTAGAAGCTATCCAATCTTCCATTCATTGACCCTACGGTCTCTGCTTGGATGGCAGACTTGTGGTTAGGAGAACGCCTTCCCCATTTTGGTCGTGATGGCTTCCTGAGTCCAATATGCCGAACTTCCTTTGACACCGGGTATGACCCAACCCTGGAGGCCATGCCAGTAGGTTGGAGGCCATTGCTATTGCTACTCGCACTGCGAAGCGCAGGTCCCAGTTGAGGCCATCCGAGTGCTGCGGGCGTCGGACGTGGAGTCTGCGGTAAGGGCCGGTGTGTTCACCGGTTCACATCAACCAGTGGCGAGACGTGTTATGGGAGCCCCCCAAACCAGAACAATCAGACAACATCTGCGGGACCTTGGTCTCTGAATTCATCAGGTTTACTGGTTTAAAGATGAACATCAGCAGCCCTTTTGACATCAAAGAGATAACAGATCAACATCCCAATGGAGGGGTTCCACCTCCACTGTTTCATGAATTCCATGAATCCGTGCTGATTTCAGTACACTCCGTGCTGCTTCGCTCCAAATGGATTCCAAAGATTCCAGAGCTTGTGAATAGACCCAGGTTGTGTTCGGAACCACCGGCAAACCTACAACACAACCTGCCAGCCAACAAAGGCTTTCGCGCAATTTTTCATGCTTATGTGGGGAACTCTTACTTCTTGTATTATACTTGTATCTTATATATCCTGGGGATGCCTTGTTGAATTGTTTGGATCTGGAGTGTACCTTACACCCTGCCTATCACATGAATAATCGAAAATCTGCTTCAATTGAGGCTGGAAACAATCAAAGAAACAGAAGTACTTCGAGCAGTCTAAAGCAAGCGAGTGCACTTTATATACTTCTATATATATATATAATGGGCGGGTGAGGGAAGCAGCTGTGAATACCTCATGTAAACACTAAACAATTAAGTAAATGTGCCTTTGCGACGATCACGACTAATGACTAATTGGCCGCGGTGAGGAAGTTTTCTTCGTCCACATCCAAGCGCGCAGAGAGAGAGAGAGAGACACACAGAGAGACAAAGAGTGTTAATTAGTTGAACATGGCTCCTCTTGCACTTGTTTGTCTCTTTTTGACTCTGCTTGTTGCAGACCTGCCTCTTCTTATTTAAGGCAAGCCTAGAATGCGAAGATGTCAAAATGCATTATTAGATATCAGGGAGATTAGACAGTCTGTATGAGGTCAGGAACTACGTGATGCTCAATCCATTCCCAATGCCGCTGGGGGCGGGAGCCACCTTCTTTGCCAGCACACTCAGTTTTTCGACAGCGAGCCGGAAGCGGAAGAAACTGCAATACTGTTTGACAAACTCCAAGTGCTTAACGCCCAACAGTGTTTCTCACACGAAATACTTGACAAACAAGGACGCTACTAGGGCCTAGGGGCTCCTGGCCTTACTACTAGGAAGGAGCAAGAAGCTACTAGGGGCTCCTGGCCTTGCTACTAGGAGCAAGAAGCTACTAGGGGCTCCTGGCCTTACTACTAGGAGCAAGAAACTACTAGGGGCTCCTGGCCTTACTACTAGGAACAAGAACGCCAAAGCCAGGGCTTTGAAATCCAAAGGTTTGTAGGGTTTAGGGTTTATAGTATAGGTCAGAACTTATAAAACCTAGTTCTTTTTTCTAATGGCATTACTACTAGGAGCAAGAAGCTACTCGGGGCTCCTGGCCTTACTACTAGGAATAAGAACGCCACTAGGGGCTCCTGGCATTACTACTAGGAGCAAGAAGCTACTAGGGGCTCCTGGCCTTACTACTAGGAGCAAGGACGCTACTAGGGGCTCCTGGCCGTACTACTAGGAGCAAGAACCCTACTAGGGGCTCCTGGCATTACTACTAGGACTAGGGGCTCCTGGCCTTACTACTAGGAAGGAGCAAGAAGCTACTAGGGCTCCTGGCCTTACTACTAGGAGCAAGAAGCTACTAGGGGCTCCTGGCCTTACTACTAGGAGCAATAAACTACTAGGGGCTCCTGGCCTTACTACTAGGAGCAAGGGACGCCACTAGTTTGCACATGGAATTGGTGGGCTTGTGAGACGGTGACTGAGACGGGAGCGAGTTGTACCGGGCATACTAGTAGGTATCAAGAAAACACATTAAAAACTATATATCGAATCAATAAGAAAGTATTTACCGAATCAAACAATAGATATTTACTGAATCAATAAAAATATTCGTTGTGAGATGAAATCCCTTGGAATTCCCAGTCGTGTAGGTGGCCGTTGCGGTCCTCTGGTCCCCTGGTCCGCTGGTCCTTTGGTCTGCTGGTCCCCTGCAGTCCGCTGGTCCAGTAGTCACTTGGTCCGCTGAGGCTGGTCCGCTAGTCCCTTGGTCCTCTGGTCTTTTGTGGATTCAATATTTGTTTTGTTTGTTTTGTTTTTTTTGTTTTTCGTTATCACATCCATTGCTTGCTTATGCACTGTTGCACTCGTTGCATGAGTCCAGCTGCGTGGGGCTCAAATGAACTGGTTTCTCCACTACTACTACTGCTACTACTACTACTGCTACTGCTACTGCTACTGCTACTCCTACTACTGCTACTGCTACTGCTACTGCTCCTGCTCCTGCTCCTACTGCGACTGCTACTGCTACTGCTCCTGCTCCTGCTCCTGCTCCTGCTCCTACTGCTACTGCTACTGCTACTGCTACTGCTACTGCTGCTCTTACTGCTACTGCTATTTGGAATATTTTGTTTGAGTCAGTGGTTATTTTTTTGATGCGTGTGAATATTTTTTTTATTTGATATGTTAAATATTTTGTTTTTGATCTCTCACCCGTTGTACCGTGGTCACTGTGGTCACTGTGGTCCTGCCAGATGGGCCAATGGCCAGAAGTTTCAAACAGGGCTTCAAGGTGCAGTACCAACCAGATGGATTTCAGTTTACAATGGTTATCACCTTCAGATTGTGAAGCGAAAGTGTGTTTCCTTTTGTTTTGCTTGTTCAGCTCTTTGGATGATATGCTTGGTGATTCCGTTTTGAGGTTGGGTCCAATCAGACAGCCGTCATGGCGAGCAACGGCAGAATTTTGGCGGCTTGGTAGAAACCAACCAGGTCCAAGGGCTTCGACGCTCCACCAGCTCTGAGACCTGGTTTGGACCACCGAGCAGTGGGAGAGTGGCGTCCAGACAAGCCTGGTGGTATGCGGCGTGGGGAGAATAAAGTCAAAGAGTTTTAGAAGAGCCCAATAGCCAGGGATCCCATCTAGAAGGCGTGCTTTCTTGGGCTGTTTTTGTCTAAGCGCTCGGCTGGATTCGGATTGGGGGATCGTGACGTCGGCACCCGGCACGACGTCGTTGGTCCGTTGGTCCTGGTCGGATTACTTTGTTGTACATTCACACAACGTCTTTCTCAAAATGTCAAAACAGTATAACACCCCCAAGCAGTTCTACATGTTCGTTTGATCTGTGGGACAATCCGCGATTTCAACTAATAGTGCGAGACTGTCTCCAATCGTGCAGCGGTAAAGAGGAGCTCCAGAGAGACGTGTAGGAAGCTCTTTCCAAAGCAATTTGGGTTCCTGTCAACGATACGGGAGTCCTCCCGGCTAAAGCCTTTTTCTCGCTCACACGACCAACACACGTTCAAATGGAATCTGGGTTCCATACCATTGATCGGCAAGCGTGGCGACACTGTCAATCGCTCAGAATTGTCAAACTGCCAGAAACGGTCGTAGCAACAGAACATGCTTCCTTTCAGGGGTGTTATGCTCTGGAGGTTGCAGAAATGCCAGGCTGTGTCTTTTTCGGTGTTCGACATTTCTCTGAATGTTGTGCTCTGGAAAAAGTGGGAATTATCACCGAACAACCTTGCCGGCTCGCCAATGGAGCGGTAATAGCGCCATATGTGTTCGAAAGTTGCGCCAAGTTGAGTCATATTCACCTCCCGCAGGTGTGTGCAAAGACAGACACAGTCACTCCATCGTCCCCCCCCGGGTGGCCTGTCACATGGTAGTTTCCACTCGGCAGGGATTGGATGTGTCACGTTGGGACAGGAGACCATTTTCCTTGCATCCACAACGGCTGAACAATCAGGGCCATATTCTATAGAACCCCAACATCCTGTTCTGTTAATATCCTTCGAACAATTTGTACTATAACAGAAGCACAGCAAACCGGAGTTGTGGAACATGTCGCATCCCCTAATGAGATTGATCCTGAAAACAAGGAAAGAACGCATCAAAGTCACACTGTCACACTGCTTGAAAGAGTGCTCTTGGGGAACTTGCCTTGTGGCCCCGGCTAAGCCTACCACCCAAATTCGGGGAAAGGACCTCGGATCAAGAAGGTGATCGTCGGAACGGCCACGATTGCGTGATTATTTTCTCGCACCAACCTAGGCCTCAGAGTTGGACACGCTGGAACAGGCTTGGTTCGCTGCAAATTCGCTGAACATGGCATGGGTCATTCTTGTCATCATTTGTCATGATGTTGATGGTAGTGCATATATAGGGGCTATGTCCAGTAGGTGTATTCGATGGAGAAACATATGAGTCAATAAATCTTTCAGCACGACAGTTGGTTGGGGGCCATACGCGGAAAGCAACCATGGCCAGTTCGAACCTTCCAGGTATTGTCGCTGTTGCATGTAGCAATCTTTCCCCAGCATTGCGAGGAACGCCTTATGGTTGGAAAGCAAGTCGGTTGGTTCTTGATTTCCTCGGCCCTAGGCCATAGCCAGGTTAAGACCTGACTTCGAAACGAGTTCCAGCAATAAAGTTCTGGAAGATTTAGGTTCGAGTCAGCGCAGCTCTTGGAATTGCTTGCATAGATAGGCATTTTTGATTAGGCCACTAGCCACAGTCACCGACCATCATATATGACTCAACATGTTCATGCAGCAGAATCTAGCTTTCATTGCAGGTTTGCAGTCACCGGATAGGGCGCGGGTGGGAGAAAGTCCCTCAATGGCTCAGCCTGTCGATCCATTTGCAAAGTGGCGCTTGCTGACAACACCTTCAGAGCAGTTCAAAGAGACTTGGCAGGATGAATCCTTCCAAGTTTGGACATCGTGTTGTTACGCCTTGCAAACATGTACTTGCTCAAGTGATAATGGATTCATCCATGCCTGGGTGTGGGACTTGACCAGAGGGGTTCAACAGAAACGAGATATAACAAAATGAACCATTGGAAAGCAGCTACTGCAACTAGCTGATGGCATCGATTATGTAATTATCGGGGTTACAGTAGATTCAGCATCGACTAGAGTCTAGAGATGAATGGAGTACTGACATACATATACTATTCATTACTATTCTACACACTCGGCTTGAGGTGCTTGATATTGATTCTTTGGACGTTGCTGAGACTACAAACCCATTCTTCTCGAAATGACACATCCAAGGACTGCACACCGTCAGGGAGTGAGTTGCGCTTTTCCTTCTTCCTCAAGGAGGTGCTCCGACATCCACTGAGCTTCGAAGATTTTATTGATTTCCGTCGCGTCTCGGCTGCGAATGGAAGCTTTCCGTCGTCGGGTGCATCACTGTCGAGTCATCAGTCTATTCAGCCATTGTAGTTTGTCAGGCTATAAAAAGGACACATGATGCACTCCAGAACAGGCTTCTTTGCACATGTTTTTGGTGATTTATCCTAACCTCGAAACATCCATGTTGTCTAGGACATCCATGTTGTCTAAGTGCACCATTGCTTGTTCTTTTAAATCAATATTTTTCACGGTTGATGCAACACGTTTAATAAACCGGTTCATGTCACATATCCGCAATCACCAACAACAAGTGGTCTGCTGTCAACGCGACCGCTTGGCCCGGCAATGTCAAAGGTCTCTTCTTGACCGTTGTCATTTGGCTCAAGGTTGCCATCGTTGAAAGGAAAAGATAGGACAAAGGTAGGACCAGCCAGGACAAGAAGGACTCGAAGCAGTTCTTTGTGCTCTGAGTAGCCATGAAGTTCTTTCGTGCTGTCATGGCCATCGCCTTGGGACTCATTGCATCCATATCCTTGCAGGGATGTGGAGACTCTGAGGATGATGGACCAACCGGAATGGGCAGCACTACCACCATGGAGATGGAGGGCAACACAACTACGATGGTGACCTCAACCACCATGGCTTGAGCAAACGAGTGGCCGAAATGTGGCACGAACGGTCCAACGAAAAGATCTTGGACTGCTGCATGTGGATTTGGCACAACGAACGGTCCAGGAGGCCAGCATGCGCCGCCCGTACATATCATGACATCTGGCAACAGCAAGTGTGACAAAAAGAGCAGCATCTCCAGCGGCTTGCAGGTCCTTGAGAGAAGTGGGTCCCATGGGTTTAACCCTGAATGGTCTTTGACAGCACGAGATGGATGGGAGATGTGTGACAGCAGTGACAGCATATATAAATGCCCCGCAATAACATCATGGTGAGTCATGGGAGATGAATGTAGACCTAACGCTGGCGGTAGTTCAGTGCAGTTGTTGAGTTCTTTGAGCTCTTCAGACCCCCCGTGTGCCACATGGTCAAAGTTCTTTGTGTCTGAGTATTGCGAGGTGTTGTATGCTGTCGTCGTTGACAAGCCTGGTGCAACATGGCTATGACTGAAACACCTCTATCAAATGTCCATGTTGACTCCCTAGTCATCAAAAATCCCTTTTCTCCCCCTTGCAATGCCCTTGCAAAGTTCAGAGGGGTGTGAGGGTTTTCAGAAAGAACCAATCTCGTGTACATGGTTGATCTCTCCCTTCTTGGACTCTTTCAGGTAGCAACAGCTTCCTTCGAGAAAATACCAGCAAGAAGTCTCACGGATTTGATGCAGCTGCCTTTCGCACCGACTTCGCATCCCAGCTTGAGAACCAGGCGAGCAAGAATGATTCCGAAAGGATGCACTGGAGAGCAAAAAATGAGATACTGGTACTAGCAGGAGACAGACATCCCCCTTGCCCCCTTGACTGGTGGACAAAAGTCATGAGAAAGAAACCAAAGACAACATGTACACAAATTGAGAACCTAATGGGAGTTTAAGACGTCATGAAGAGGCGAAAACACGGTGCACACGTTCCAAGAATGGATATTGTCACGACGAGTGGATCATCCTGTTTATGCGAAAATGCGAAGATGTGCTTGGTGTTGGATGGGCAAGTCAAAGGACTCAATAAGGTCTGGGAGATTTTGTGTAAACACAGGAGGAGACAATTCCGTTTACCAGAATCCGAGCGTAGGCTTCCATACGCGCTCCCGGGTACTGTACTTGGGTCTTACAACGACGCCTTATGAACACTTAGAAGAAATGTATATATATATATAATTTACTTTATACGAGACTCCAAGGATATTCACTACAGTGATGGTGATGTCTCAAGAGGCTTGGGCGACACTTTCTCTTGTTGAAGGGAGGCATGGCAAGAAGCTTCAAAGATTAGCTTCCTTTGCAAGATGAATGCCAATGCTATTGAAGGGTAGGTACAACATGTACAGTCCTACAATTGGAGTGACTACTGGTACCTAGTGTCTGTGGCAACTACTCCTAAGTACACCTAGCCAGCTACTTGTAACATCAGGTAACAGGATTGCATTTTTTTTAGCTGGCCATCCGGAAGCCCGCGAGAGCCAGAGGTCGACTGCAACAGCCCTTTGGCAACGATCGGGGCAGCTTGGTTGGACTAATCCACACTCTGCAATTCTTTTGGGGCGCCAAACTCGATGACAAGTGCAAATCACCTGGTAGATTTTTGGTTTATCGTACGGATATGTCAAGTCAAACGTTCGCTTGAAGGATTTATTGACAGCCAAGCTTGAAATTTAGGACAACAAGAATCGTGCGACTTCCTGCATCAGAAACATCCCCGATACAGCGCTGCTCAGCAATACGTACTCGTCCGAACAAAGAGTAGCAATTGCGTGTCCTGATGTGTCTTGTGTTGTTTATATTAAGTGTTCACGCTATTGGATGGACCAGTGTTCTGGAAAGAGTGTTTGGTTGCAAGCAAGCTGCCCACAGAGCAGTCTGAAGAAACATTGAGTGTAGCCTGCCAAGTGTTGTTTGCTGCAGTTGCCCAAATTGAAACTCACACTTCCGGATTTTTGTGGTGCCATGATGTGCCATGAGCCATGAATATAGTTTATGGTTTATACACAGTCTTGTAGCCGAACTCACATCCCACTAGAGATGCTGCCCGCATGCCAGGAGGAGATGGCATGTCGCGCAGCTTGCAGCATCCGGACTTGTTATGCCGTTGTGGTAAGCCTGTGAACGAAGATTTGTAGGCCATGAGGCCATGCCCACGGCCTGAGAACCGCAGTACTGTCGCATTCGAACGATCTTTTTTGCCTGATTGTTCTTTGTAATGTTGGTTATATAGTTGGTTGTCATTTTGATGGCTACAAAGCTTTGGAAGATGATGGATTATGATGGATTCAGTAGACCATGAGTTTGGCCACCATAGCTACAAAGATGACGTTCTGGATTCGTTGACGGGGAGCAGGCCATGGGCGTGAGAAGATGATTCAGCAAACACTAGTAGCTTCTTGCTCCTAGTAGCGATGGCCTCCAACCTACTTGCGATGGCCTCCACCTAATAGCGTCCTTGCTACGAGTATGTTTCTAATATAAATCATATCAAGAAATTTAACACATTAAACCTTTTTGTTCTTGCACGCACGGACCCGAAGAGAATTCCATGAAATCACATGTTCCAGGCAACAGATTTGACCCGCACGACCTATCGCCTTTATGCATGTTAGCTTCCACAGTATTGCAGAGCGTACCTTGACCTCATTCGTCAAAACAGATCGCCAACACTATTTCGGTTTTCGGGCCGATTGGTTGCTTGTGAGCTTGAGAAGGTTCAGGACATGGCCGCCACAGGAAGTGGAACCCTGAAGAGAACACTTTTGATTGCTTTCGGCAACTTAGAAGCATGCCTTTCCTTTGGTCCGATTGTCAGGGCTAGAGTCTAGAGTCAAGAGTCGGCAAATGTTGCAAACCCCATCCTCGGACCTTTGACCAGCTCTTTGCGTCTCCGTCTCAGCCGGAGTGTTTACACATGTGCAGCCAGTTACCTTGCAAGAGCTGCAAGGTCTGGAACTGTTTGGAACTGGGGTAAGAGTGACCCGATGCGTCAGCGCCCATGGTTCCTCTTCACCAGCTGCGCCTCAGCCGGAGCGTGTACAAAACTGTACACGTTTCAGCCGGTTCCCAATGTGGCCTGATGCGGTTTGGAGTGATCCGAGGGGCCTGACCAGATGCGTCAGGTTCCAAACTTCAGGTTCTCCTTCTGCGGATGGGAGAGAAGCGCGGTGGCTTTAACCTGGAGTTCCCAGGCCCAGCTTGACAAGTCCCTGCCAGCCCTGAGAGCAAAATGTGTGCAATGGAAGAATCACGCGTAAGTTGGTTGGAGGACAGCTTTCTTCACACGATGAGGACCGGGTTATTAAGTTATTCACCGTGTTCGCTGGATGGTGTTATTGTTTGTATGGCATGTAGTTTTGGCTTGATGTGGCAACTGATTTGTTGATGACAGCACTTGCTGAGGAACATGCAGAATACAATAATTAATTGTAATGTTTTTGGCAGGTCCAGGGTGGGACAGCATGCCAGCAAATGGAATGAGCGGCAAGGAACACATATGAACACATGTCATTCCCTTGCAGAGTACCTTGCAGACAGAAACTAGTAACTGATATATATATATATACTGTATATTTTATTTGAAGCGGGCAAAAACACCTGCGTTTCAGTAAACCACGGCATTGCATTGTAGCTTGTCTTGTCTATGCTGTTCCTGGAGTCCTATGGAGGGTTGGTGGTGTCCTTGCTGGTTCTGCTGACTGTCGAAGTGGCCAGCCGTTCTGGCCAGGCAGGAGGCGGTGCGCGATTTGCGCCCATCCAAACGGATTCATGTTCCGGGCTGGGTGTTTTCTTCTTCAAATTGATTCGGGGACCGAGTGGAATTATCTGGAACCATATTGTCACACTCTTTCGATGTTGCTCCATATGGTACTGTATATAAGTTCTTTTGAACTTGAAGAGTACTGTTGCAGGGTCACGGAAGACTCGCTCGCTTGTTGCCAAGAGCATTCTCACTTTCATCCAATGCGTAGAAAATGGGTCTGGGATTGCATGTGTTCAAAACAGTGGATGAGCCCACTACATTCAACCCTTTGCAGCACCTTGGTTCCCATAAATGATCCAAGGTGCAACTCGCTGCTGTGGCAGCAGCTATTCCCACTGGACTGCCACTGGTCGGGATCCTCAGAAAAGGCCCAAGTCCTCATGGTGCTTACAAGATTTCAATGTGCTTCTGAACTCAGATGCCATTGTTGCTGTGTCAAGTCCTGTTTGAAGATCTACCACAGAAGGGGTTAGGCTCGGTCGCCCCGAAGTCGGTTTGCTGTGCAGGCTCTTTGCATTGTGGTTTCAAAATCCCCACGCCAAGAGGCTGGGGAAATTGTTGAGGTGCACACAGTGCAACTAGGAATGCATCGTTCAATTGACTTGAATGTTGCTAGCTGCTAATATATAGGTTGGAGGCCATCGCTTCTTGTTTGGAGGCCATTGCTATTAGGTTGGAGGCCAGCGCTAGTAGCTTGCTTTCTCTGCCTCACCTCGAAGGAGACATGAGCGCAGTTTTGCTGCGTTTGACCAAGCCACTTACAAGAACGCCTGCCTCCAGCGCAGCCTACCCATGTAAAAAGCCTAGCGGCAGACATGACATTTTGGGTAATGTTTTTTTGCACTGGTAGCAAGAACATTGTGAAGGGCACACATGAGTATCCGACAGAATTACTGTAAGTCAGCACTAGCCTTCGGCTGGACATTGTTTTTTTGAAAAAGTGAGTTGACTGCAAAACCGATAGGGGCCCACCCAAAATCAATACCCTCTAACATGGGTGATGCTCCACCCAAAGCTGATACCCCAAAGAGTTGTAGATGCATAAGAAAACCTGAGACGCATAGGGGCCCACCCAAATTATGGACATCCTGGCAGGTGATAAGTAATATTGTCCGACATGGACGGGTTGTCAATTCTTAAAAAGGACTTGAACGGGAGTGGATGTTTGGGAGGAGTTGGTGGAGTTCAGTGATGCGGTGCTTCGCGGAACAGCGAGCAGTCCTGGCTGCACGTGGCGAAAGTCCAAGGCTCCAGGAGGAGTTTGTGCGACGAGCACGTGAACCACCTGCAACCACCTGTTGGAGGGATGACCAGGACACCAATTTCATCATACACTACTTTTTTTTGTTTGTTTGTTGACTTGCTGGGAGGGTGGCCTTTTTGGGCTTTGGACGAAAAAGAAGAAGTTCTTAACCGAAGAAAGACTATTTTGATGGGTTCTGACTCGCGACTCGATTTGACTAGGTAGGTTTTGGATGGTTTGGAGGTTCCGATCTTTAGATTTTGGGCTTCCACTATGCAGCACAGACCTTGGTAATTTTGGTTCACCAGCTGAGGCACCTTGGCCTTCGCCGTGGCCATGGCCTTGGCCGCAAGGCGAGCTTGGGGAGTGCTTGGTATGTGCCTTGGCAGATGGGGTGGACATGATAACACGTCTGGACACTTTGTCTCATGTGTCCAGATCTGCGCCAAGTACGAGCACAAGGTTTTGGGATTATATATTTACTCACTTGTTCAACATTGGAAGGGAAAGTGAAAATTGAACAAATCAAAACTCTGACGTTCTTGGACTCACTCAGAAGTTTGGATTTTTGTCCCAATGCTTGACGCATGGTCACATACTGAAGCTTGAGAGAAGATGTTAGAGCATGAAGACCAAGAAAAAGTCTCGGAGATTTTCCAAGGATAAGCCGCAAGTAAATATCACTGTGTTGCAGTAGATGTCGTTTAAAAAACGATATCACATGATCCACGCTCATTGACTGACCCATCGCGGACCAAAAGATTCTGGAGTGCAAGAGGTGTTGAAGCTAGATGCTCAGGGAATGTTTGCGCAGTGCGGGCACGCCCCCCCAAAACCTTTGCTCGACCTTTGGTGTCAGTTGACGATTGAAAAAGGGCCTGCGACAAACAAACTTGGTACACTTCTCGATCTAGTGTATCCATCCACTCACACTCTCGCTCACAATGTCCTTACCGTGAATTTAACTGGGTGTTTCACCCGCTCAAGGCCATTTCTACACCTTTACAGTGTTGCGAACTGTCCAGGTGAAAGGCCAACGGGTGGATCTCCTTCCTTCCCTCGGATCCAGCACCAGCATCTTTTGGTCACCTATGCCCATCCATCGTCCGGCCTGGTCCCTCCCTGGTGCGAAGTGGAGGCGGCCCCGGAGTCTTGAACGTCCCCTGAGCATGGCCTGACAGATGACCGAGTTCGCAGAGTCCCCACTGAGTCACCCACCCCTTTGGCCTTCCGATTTCTTGCATAAGGAAAGCAAGTCTGGGGTGGATGGCGTGCCGCTCAATCTCCACAGACAATCAAGTCCCGTGCCAACTCCTCGTCCACGGTTGGGCAAGAGCGTGGGGTAAAGTCCCCGCAAACTCTTCAGCAAGGTTGTCCCGTTGTCCAGCGCGTCCTGTTTCTCAACATTTTTCAATATGTTTCACAGGGGCTGCACCAGTCTCCTTCTTGAAGCTCTTCACTTGCTTCTCACTTCCATCCTTCACCCGCAGGACAGTCCTTCTTTGAGTGTTTGGTTGATCAGCACTCTAAGCATCAGCTCTTCTTCTCCATGGACCCCAACTCATGGTTGAATCCACACTCACCTCCCTTCCCGCACCCTTCCACTTTCTCTTCATGTGGGTCATCGCCTTCACCTTGGTGACTGCTCCAGCTCAAGTCGAAGTCCCATGGCCCCAACCTTCACCCACTCAGGGAACTCAAAGTCCTGTCCCAACTGCTCCGGAGTCTTCGGAGGTGGTCCCTTAGGCCATCTTAGGCCGAGTGGATAGACTTGTAGAGGAGTCCCCGTTCATAGACTGGCCAACAACTCTCCTTGAAATCCCCAGCAGCCCTGCACCTGCTCGGTGTCCTCAAGGCGCTTCCAGAGTTCCGCCAGCACCTTTAATTGAGCATTGAATTCGGACTCATCACCGCCCTCATCACGTCCCTGATTTTGACAGCGACCTCCTCACTCTCCAGAGTTCCACTTCAAAAGGTGCCGATGTCATTGACAAGATAGACAACCTCAGAGCTCTCAGCATAGCATAGCTTCATCCTTCGCCACAGTGGAATCCCCGGTTCTTGACCTTTTCCGTCTTTCTTCGAGCATCTTCCCGTCTTTGATGCCCATAGCTCACCGGTTGCGGCCATCACCTCCAAGCTCATCCTTGTCCGTGATGGGTAGCTGTTCCTCTTCCTTGGCGATCTTGGCGCTCTCCTTTCGAGCCTTCTTTTGGCGTAGCGGATGACATGGGGACCAGCACACCAAAAGGTGGTGGACTTTATGGCATTGGGCTCATAACCCACAGTGTGGGCAGCCAGCAAAAGCCTTTTCTCGATCTCTGATGATTAGTTAATGATTGAAAAAACGGGTCGCGACAAACAAACTTGGTACACTTCTCGATCCAGTGCACTCAATCGGACTTTGAACTGACTAGTCTCAGTCTATGGATCAATCACCTCATGGTTGCGGGAGTGTAGTAGATAGTGTAGAATGACCAGAAGGCGCTGACA